CACGCGCATTAACTCTGGGTAACCAATAGGAGGTTGATTGAACTTACTCTTCTCAGGTGTTTTGGAACCGACATACTCATGGTATGCGGGTTTGGGGTATATCAACCCCGAGGTTAAGATTTACCAAATGGTAAGTTAACCAAGCTTTCTGGAATACCCCCCAGGAACTTTAATACAGAGGGCTAACAAGAGTAACGCAGGACAGGTGAAAACACTTAACAAGGGCTGGTAAAACAGGCAACAGGTGAAAGTAATAAAACTAAACCATGAAACTCAAACTAGGAAACAGAATCTAACAATGGGGGAATAAAAAACAGGTGAAACACAACCACGGGCACAAAGCAAAAAACCAAAACCGAATACAAATCACAAAACACAAGAACTAGAAAACTGATACAAATGAAACACTAGGGAACACAATCTACAAAATACAAAAACAGAGGAAGCAAGATTTAAACACACAACTGAAGGGATTACAGGCAGCCACATGCTTAGCTCATTGAGCTATGCAGCCATCAGGGGAGCAGGGGAAACACTAAAGACTGACAACGGGGAGGATAGGATGGCCAGTGACACCTGCTGGCCAAACAGGGAGAGGACATGAAAGACTGGGACAAATGAGTGCAGACCCTGACAATTAATTGTATGCTCAGGTTCTTACTCTCCGATTATAACAGTTCTGCATGAAAAAATGTGATTATTTAATTGACTACTTATGTCTGAACATCTGAATGCGATTTATTTTAATTTCTCATTCGCGTTTCCGATTTATCTTTGTTAATATGACAAAACATCTGAAAGAATGATTGCATGTAGGCATGTAGGATCGCGATTTTGAGACAGCGTTCACTTATATAAGAATCATATATATAAGAATGACGCGAGTCACCCCTCAGACGTGCCTGACATTTTTGCATCTGACCATATTTTAAAACGTTTTCGTTGTTTTCGCATGTAGGCCTAAATGATTTTCACCTGATTCATTATTTCGAGTATTGTTATACATTTTGAACGCTAGATGGCAGCCCACCTACAGAAACATATACGGCCATAACGAGAAGAGGAAGATTAGCTGCCTAACCACAGACGCGCAACACATTGCTGCAAAAATACACTTTCGCGGTTTCCCCAGGGCTGCGTCTGCTTTTCTCAGAGCCTTTTCATATATACAAAAATCGTTTCTATGTTCTCGTTCTTAGCAAGACTATGAAACCTTGTATATTTTCATGTGTAAAATGCAAGTAATTACAAATTAACTTTATTCAGGCTATACTGCTGTCAAATAGTTTTTTGTGCATTTGAACTGGACCACATTAGAGCGTAGAAACCAGTAATGTTATCCGTAAAATTTCTGTTCACTTTTTGTTTCCATTAGCACGGGGTTCCGTTTTATCCTGTGCATTTGTAATAATCAAATTCTTAAATGCGCGCCACAGTATTTCATTCTTGTATGTCATTCAACATTTACAAAAGAAAATGTGAAACGTGATAACATCCTTGGATACAGACGGGAGTGTTTAAGATAAAACTGATTCGCCGTTTGGGACTTTGGGTTAATTAAGGTTGTTTGTTAGGCTCATTCTAAGCTGTACACTTATGTGTCCCCGTTTTAAAAACAATACCTTTGGGGTCGGTTTTTTTTTTGTTTGTTTGTTTTTTTAAATCCTCTTTATGCGTCTAAACATTAACGCTTGGTTGCCGATCTGCCTTTGATGCAGGGGCCCCTGAGGTGAGTTAGCGCAGGTACTGAGGGAAGCTGAAATAACGGCGTCGGCAGCTCATTCTCGAAGTAAAGGTGAAATCGGTGCATTTTTTCCCGCTGATAGAAATACCGAGAGTCCAAGGTCTACTGAAGGTCGCCAACTCATGGTTACGCACCAGTAATCTGTAGGCACACGACGGTGAATTTCAGTTTTGACTTCTTTGGTCTGCTGTGCTTATGTCCCCGATGGCAGCTGCTGGGCAGAAATACGATGACTGCAAAATAAGTTCATTTATGGGGATTAAACAAAGTTATGGATAAAATGATATACATTCAAAAAATTAAAAGTATTTTATGGTTAATTGCTTATATAGGTTGTCAGACTAATATAAGATGAACTGGTTGGTGGCCTTAGCAGTTTTGCTTAGTGCAATTCGAGATATGCATTCGATAAATTACGACCTAGATATTAATTAAAGTGAATAATCTGGAACAATTTTGAATTTTCAATCATTTATCAGCTTTTACAATGTTGTCAAACAGGATCAGAGCAAGTCTCCGCAATATTAAGGCAGGTCCCCTGATGTACCAAACATCGGCGCATAGAGAGACAGACAGAATGCAGGCTGGTGCGTGATTGACTTGCCATAGTTGGGCGGAGTTCTTGGAGGCTGAAGTCCGCGGATGCTGATATCACTTTCACTTCACTGCCTGGCAGTAATGCCTCTTGTACATAACGGTGCTGTAGTGGTTCTTTCCCACGCCGCGCTGTAATACTGTACCGATCTCCGCGCGCACTCTTGTTGGATACAATGCAAACAAAGACGCCAAACGTTTAGTTACGAAAGATTCTCACTACAAAACTCGAAGGAAAGCAACTTGCGACGGTACATCGCTCCACTGCCGAGGGTAAGTAATACGGGAAACTGCCGAAGAAAAGATGCGGTTATTACCAACATCTTGTCATTTACACCCGCTTGGCTCTGCTCGCTATCGTACTCTTAGAAGATAGAGTGGGGAGGCTTTAAATAGATCGATACATATATACATTAAAAATTAAATTAGACCCTGAGAAAAAAAAACTCGTTTAAATGTAATATTGCATGACATCACAAGTTGGAATGTATGCGGCACCCATCCGTTGACCCTAATTAATATTTATTCGTTTTAAGCATTATTTCACCAGCTGTGTGTAAACAGAGACTTGAAAGACAGTTGACAGCAGCTTCTTGAAGTGGGTTTTCTACGTCCTCACACCTGCTGTGCGCGCACTGCTCCTCTACTGTGCTGCATCTGCAAGAACGAAGCAGTTTTACGTAACATGCGTTTTTACGCTTTGACTGACTGCTCAGAATCGCCGTGGTTTTTGGGTTTTTTTGCGTGCCACGTGCGTGGCACTTATAGTAATATCATTTTGCGTTCGTCACTTCCCTGCCGGTGAAACGCGTTATGAAACACACACCTTAATTTGTCATATATGTCACGGTTAGGTTAAGCGGGTTTCACAGTTTGGTGTGGCGTGCGCAAAGTAAAGTCACATGGTTAAAAGATACCAGACCACTCCGTGTCCATAAATCCCTGACTTACAAATAGGTTTGTGGGCAAAACTGCTACCAAATCTCGATATTTACGATATTTTCTGATTCGCTTTTTTCAATTTCTGCCCTTAAGTTACAGTGGCTTACAGGCTGACAGATCACTGAGTAGTTCCGACGTGATTCGGACCCCTGTTCGCTTTCCTCCTGCAGTTCCCGTCGTACTTGCACTCATGCGCGGCTTCTGCTGCGGCGTCAGGTCAGCGGTGCAACGCGGATCAAATGTGAGCTCGGTCACCGGTAACGAGAGCAACGGTACCAGAAGCGCAGGTGTCCTGCGGGCACGACCTAGTGACGGATGGTCGGAGCTCAGCTTTTGAAATTTACTGTTATACGACTTCTGGACATGGAGCCGCATGATTTGACGCATGACCTCTTGCGGTTTCATGTAGGACGGCCAGTAATCAGCATCCCTCCCCTTAAAAAACCTGGTTTACTCCTGGCTGCCACACCGGTTACAGCTGGATGGGTTGAACTCATTTGGGTTTCATCCCGTTTAAATGCAGTGCGTGGCTCCCTCTAAAGAAGGCGTCCACAGCCACGGTAGTAGCAGTAGATCCCCCCTTTAAGAAGTAAAATAAGAGATAAGATACACTGTATTGATCCCGGGGAAATCTTTAAAAAGTGCATAATACAGTGCAGGTGCTACAACTGAGGTAGAAACATTTTTATATAGATCAACTAAAGCAGGAACCGTTTACGAGTGTGTCCCTGGCACCGCGCCTTCACGGACACAGACATGATGGCATTCCGCCACTGTAAGGCAGATTCCCTGGAGCGGCGGAGCTCTTCTCAGAATCACCCCCCCCCCCCCCTTCAGTGCCTGCGTGCGTCCGCGGTCCCGGGCAACAGGTGGCAGCTCGGGGCGCGCGGGAGAGCATGAGGGTGGCGTCGCAGGCGCTGCCATTGTCACCTCCTACACCTTGTTCGGCTGGCCCCGGCTGTCATGCTGCTCTAGCCGTGATCTCCGTTAGCACCCTGTGCATCTTGGAATGAGAACATCAACAGCATGTCGGTAGCTGTCTGCCGGGGAGTGCTGGCTTTTCTTTTCTCAGTATCTGTCGGGCGGTCGGGGGGCATGTACTGTATTGCGGTTTTAACTTGACTTGCTTAAAAATAGTGGAAAGCCTTTGATTTGCCGGTATCGTACAGTGGATATGTATCCTTTTACATGAAGGTTGCGGGTCTTTTCTGCCAGTAGTATACTTAACTACATAAATGGGTAATAGGCCTACCTATGAATTTGCACCAATAAATAAATGCATGAAAATGAAAAAATTGCTGACTGTGTCACCATTGCCACGAAGGCATGGAAGTACCAGTCTCCAGTGGAGGGGGTCAAGGCTCTGTATGACCTATGGGGAGAAGGGAATTGAAGAGTACCTTGCTTAGGGTCACATTATTACCGTGATATTTCTCTCTAAATGAGACTTTTAGCTTGCTGTTGTTTGTGTCCAGTGTGTCTGTTTATCACTGTTTTATTAATAGAGCTGTCGCGATTACTCCATTAAACTCTATTACTCGATTATTTAAAATGATCGATTAAAATTTTCCTTCTCGGTTACTCGGTAATATGGCTGAAGGAAGACGGCGCATGAGGATCCAAATAAAGAGCGAAAGCATCAGTTGTATATGGAAGCATTTTACATTAAAAGTGAATGAAAATGCAGTCGCTTGTCAGTATTGCAAAACAGAACTTAAATATCACCACAGTGCAATGCAAATTGATCTTAAAAGAAGACATTCATATTCGACGGAGACACCTATAATGCGAGGTTAGATATAGATCTGTGCCATTTAGCCTCTCGGAGTAGCCTAGCCGGTCTTTATCATAACCATGGGCGTAACTTTGGCTGGAACATTGAGGGTGGGAGTTGAGGTCTCCACCCATTACGGGTTAAACATGATTATTGGGGGGGGGGGGTTGTATTAGCTGGTTTTCATTTACTGGGAGGGCTACAACCCCCCCGTAATTTACGCCCATGATCATCACTCTTACTTAAATCATTTTGCTGAATTTACGATCTCCGTTACCCGCGTCATCTTACATAACACGGTGCATGACCGTATAATACTTTTGAAGAGCTTATTGTGTGTTTTTGAGTAGGGTCGACCCATATTGAAAAAAGTTCACATTGCGATATTAAGAGTTTTAAAGGTATAAAAGTTTTTGCTATATTTATGAATTCAAAATTAACCAAACAGAACTTACCTACCAACAAAGTCTGTCAAATTAGTTGATGCAATTGCCGTTAGTTGTGCCAACAGACACAAAGAAGTGCTGACAAATCACTACATATACTAGGTAATGTTGAAAAGAGGAGCCATCCTTAAAATTGCAAACCTTTCCAAATTCTGCTACCTATTACTGACCAAAATATTTTTTAGCGCTACCTCTGGTTTGAAGCGTTGAAATGAACACAGCACACTATCGCGTTCCTTGCCACGTGACCACTGGATGCGCATAACATGCCATATCAAAATAAACGTCGCACGTTGTGCAAGCCTGTAGTACTGAGGGAGGCACAGTATCGCCACATTGTCTGTGTGCAGTCTGCATGTTCACTTTGTGTGTGCGGTGCTTTCTCCGGTTTCTTTCCACTAACATATAACTTAATGTAAATGAACCTCAGTGACTAAATTGACCGTAGGTGTGACTGAGCGTGCATGCTGCAAAATTTCGTTGTTTCCTGTCTCGCGCCAACTGCCACGCATTTATTATGTTATATTATATTATATTATATTATATTATATTATATTATATTATATTATATTATATTATATTAAACGATTACTCGAGGAATTGTCAGATTAACCGGTAGATTACTGATATAATCACTAGTGACAGCTCTATTTATTAATTTGGTAATTGTTGTAATTTATGTTTTTAATGAATCTAAAAATCTGGAAATACTGATCATCACTAATTTATATACTTAAAGAGCTACTTTCCAGGAGTCTTTGACTGATCAGCTGACTTACAAGAGGCCAACGGGCATTTATTTTTGCCATTTTATTAGCTGGAGCTCCTTTTTTGTTTGTTTATATGAGCCAACTTACTTGTGGAAATTCGTGCCTCTGTGGCAATATGATTAAGGTCCAAACAGGGGGCTCATGTATTGAAACTGTAGGTGTTTAAGATGAAAACACATTTCTGAAAAATCCGTGCAAGATGGTGAGACTTCCCAGAGAGGAGAAGCTGATTCAGGCTAATGATTAACAGCGATAGTGTTTAGTATTCAGGCATGCAAACCCCCTCCCTGCTCCTGCTTGTGTTTGCTTAACTATCTCAGCAAACCTGACAAAATAAACAACTTCTATTTACTGTGTCATCATGTAGCAGAAATATTTTGTTTGTCATCATCTTCACCTGTTTCTTAGCTTTGACAGTGTGTGGCCGGCGTCGTTAATTACTGTGACGCGGGAGTCAGAGCAGTAGCTATGCGCGGCATGTTCATACCTGCGTGTTTATGCCTGTTTTTGTGTGCGTGTGATTCATGTACAGAAGGATCGTCACCTTTCCAGGAACGTGAAAGCTTCTGAGGCCTTCCCCCCCCCGAAGAGTGTGTGTGTGCAGCCAACTCCTTTATTTCTCCATTTCCTGACCTAAAATCAGGAATCTGTGGCTCTGACTTGTAGACCACAGCTTTGAGGATGCAGATCAGTCTTTGTCATCCTCAAGCATCAGTCAGGGGGTGATGACTATAGCAATTAACTGTTCATGTCAATTGAAACACAGACTCTGACCGTAATAGCAGGGTCATGGAGCTCCGTGGTCCAGAACGTGCACCCCCATCTCAGACATGCACGCAGAACGTGTCATCTACGTCTTACCTCTGGGTATGCATTCTTATTATTTTTTGTTTGAGACCTGTTCCCTAGTGGAGATCACTTTGCGTGTATTTAAAGACTGCCTACGAGCTCCGGTCTAATCCTCCCGGAGGATCAGTCACGGAACCTTCTAGAACACTGCTCTGACTTGCATCGCCGAAAAGAGTTCTCATAAATTTAGCACCTGCTCCGAGAGACAAACTTGAAAATGAATGCAATAATAAAAAGCTTAGCGTTTCATTGGTCTGGGCCGAAATTGATCTCATAAAGTTAGACGCTCCAGGGCAGTGTGGAGCACAGCCTCACACCGTCCTGCCAGCCCTCGGTCGCTGCAACCCAGCTGGTCTCTTTCCACCAAATCACATTTAAATGTACCTGGTAAGACTGGTGTGGGCTAATTACACGGCATGAGGCAGACCAGCTAAGTGATGGTTACTTGTCCCTAAGTATCTCATGACCTGCAGTTTCCACTCGAGGGGGCCAGGGTTTTTTTTTCATGGGTCACACTGGCGTGTTCGTCTGGCGAACAGTTTCCATCGCGTCAGGTTCTGAGACCAGAGGCGCATTTTGCCATTCGTGCCTATTAGCGATTAGCGTAGCCAGAAAGTGCCACTTATGGATAAGAGGGAGTGGTTGTACGTATAAATATCAGTTCAGGAGACTCTGGATCTCACCTAAGTAGGGGAGTTTCAAGCTATTGAGAAGACCAGGGGCTAAGTGAAGTTATCTGGGGCTTGGCTTTTTTTAAAGGAAGGAAGACTGACATTGGGGCTAAAATACTCGGGGCTAAATTACTCGGGGCTAGGCTTAAAATACATATATATAGCCCCGAGTGATTGGAGCTAACAACGCCCATGCACCTAAGTGTGGGGTCGTACGAGGGAGCAGCCCTGTAACCCTCATGTTTGATGGACTGAGGCATTGCCTGGGGACATGGGGTAAGCTGTCTTCACGTTTACATGGAGCTTTGGGGGGGGGGGGGGGGCGACAGTTTGTTTGTGGAGGAGCTGCACACCATGTCCTAAAAACCTCCCATGTTCCTGAAAATAACAAGCAACTTAAGCCTTGGTGTAATAGGAAGTGAGAGGAAGGGAGGGTATATTTTTATGTTTGTTAATAGCCAGCAGTAAAACTGTACACCTGAATATGAATGGAATATGATGGGGATGTATGTTTCAGGAAATTGAGTGTTTCGCATTGTTTCAGGTCAAATAAAATTATAACTGGATGTGAAATTTAAAAAAAAAGTGTTTTCCTGTGACCACTGGTGGTTTTTGTATGAACAAAGTTAACCTTTGCTGCTAGAACTGTATTGAAATAAATGTATATATTTAGCTAAAGATGAATTTAGACATTCCGTGCTGGTCGCCGGGGAGACAGCTATGTCATGAAGGCGGCCTTGGCGTTTGAGAGCGGCAAGTCAGTGAGCTTTACAGACCGTCCTTCTGCCGATGGTGATGAACGGTACCGATGCAATGACAGCGGTCATGTGAAGCAAGTGCGAGAGGGGGAAGTTCACACCCCTTCCCTGCCTGTGCTAATGGGGGGGGGCAGGAGGGTGTCATATAGAGAGTGTGGGGGGGGGCATCTCGCCTGTCTGGGCCTGTACTCTGGCTGCCCAGGGGTCCTGTGGCGGTCCACCTGTGACGACACAGATGATGATGCTGGATTTGGCAGCATTGGGCTGCCTTCAGGCGTCTGAGGTTCAGACTATTCTCCCACAGTCTGCTCTGTGGGTTACTGCCCATCTTGGCAGCGGTGCTGTAGATGCCTGTATCGCTCTGCTGGGAGCCTTTCTCTTTCTATATGTGTCCCGCTGTGATAAAGCTGCACGGCTAATCGTTTGCTCTCCACCGGATAAGAACGTGTGCCACCGTTTGATGTTAGGAGCAGAAGCCTTCAGTACCCAAGAAGAAAGGAAAATAGGTTCTTGCGGCTGTGAAACACAGCGACGGCGTGGTCAAGAAACAAGCACTTCTACTGGCCTGTAATTAATAATTAAGATGGTAAGGCATGTTTGCTGCGTGTTAGGAGGGGGTGCCCAGAAGCAATGGTGCAGCCTTTTGCACGTTTACACTATGCTCGTTTAAGTTATTGAACAGTGTGTCTTCCCAAAATATCCCAAGGGTGCAAATAAAATCAGCCCAATCCTCTTTTTTGTTCCTTTTGGGTCTGTTTCCCGTCAAAAAAGAGCCAGATTTTTCGCACTGGCTTGTTATTCTGTTAACTTTCAGCCATTGCTGTCAGTGTATGCTTGTAGGACACGGGTCAGGGGGTAGAGTCTGCTGCAATAAAGGACCTACATAATGGGGAACACTGACCCCTTGTTCGTTGCTTAGCAACAAGAAGCTTTGCCTTGTTCCTGGTATCCTGATGCGTTGCAGTTCTCAGAATTTTTCTTGTTACTGGTGACATTTTACTGGGTTCATTTCCTAAGTGGCAGGAGGACAATGAGATTCGATGTCTGGAGCTCTGCTCTTCTTTTAGATCTTGGTATTTTAATGTTTTAGTTAACAGTGAAACACCAGGTTTTGGTTAGAAGTTCATAGCTAAATCACATGTACCCTTCAGTTATATGCAATGGAAGATGGTGTAGAGCATCTAATCTAAAGGAGGTCATTAGTGGCTTCCAGGTGATAAACGCCAAGCAGCGTGCTAAGCTGGGCGTTCCATTACCGTCACGCTACCTTGAGCGACGTGCTCCGCTCAGATTTTCCGTTTCGACGCCGCGCAGCTCCCGTCCGTCGTCCGCTGACCTCTTCAAGGCACCGCCGATGAGTGACCAGCTGCGCGCGATGTCAGCCGAAGCGGTATGACGACATAGCGACGGAGGCGAAGCTCATAGCTTGTGTCAAGTCATTTGTTTATAAATAACATTTAAAAATGGCAAGTGTTTACCGAAGTGCTATACCATATAGTAAATAGAAACTATACATGAAATCCTACCACAAAATTTATAACGGTAAATCCAACAATAGCGATCATTATACATAGAATCCAACAACATAATTTTAGAATCCTGCAGTTTCCCGATCCATGTAGCACAACTTTAAAATCGTATCACGAGCTAGGAAAAAGGCAGCTGCTTGGTATCTGGTGTTAGCTATCAGGCAGGGATGGCAGGTTTGAAAAAGGCTGCGACGTGTGAAATGGACGGTTAGCACGAGGATCTTGACTTCACTGTTTAGTATCAGTGAGAGACCATATCTACTGAACCTAACATAGTTATCACACAGAAAAAAATATCAATGCAATATTTAATACAGTCACCAACCGAAAAAGATCGTCTCCAGAACAGAGCACTTTATGATGGTGCCTCGGAGCCGGGTTCAGCAACACCGCTCACGTAAGAGAATGGAGCACTAACACCGAGCTCGGTGCCACGCTCACCGCGTGCCACGTGAACGCAGCCTAACTGCGCAGGTCTGAACTGAAAGACCAGTGTTTTTAATTCAGTTTATTTTTATATAGCGCCTTTCATAACACAGTCACCCAAGGGCACTTGACAAGAGTGTGTGGCAATCCATTACTGCATCGTTTATACAGAATGGTGCATGAAAGAGGGAAAAGGGAAAGAAAGAATGCCAGAAGTCAACGGAGGAGAGGAACCAAAAACTAGCTTCCCACTCCCCCCCCCCCACCCCCGGTAATGCTAAGATTATAGAATACAAACAAAATGAGCCTTTATTAATAAAAGCAGAATGTGAGCTGTGATCAGAGTCAATCAGCGAGCCGGTTCTGCAAGCAGGTCTCTGTGAGCCGACAGATCATAGCCACACCACGGTGTCACAGATCGTGGGCATGTTCTCAGGCTTCTGTGTTGTTTGTCTGTGTGTGTCTGCGTGCTCTAGGGTGTGCAAAGAGGGTGCTGCTGGGTGACATGGCCTACACGCTGGCCAGCGAGCCGGGAAAGGGGCCCGCAGTGGGCTCCCCGTACTGCGTCACCAAGGTGGAGCTGTCCGTCTCGGGCGCCAACCTCCTGGACCGAGATGTCACGTCCAAGTCCGACCCCTTCTGCGTGCTCTTCCTGGAGGTGGACGGCAACTGGGTGGAGGTGAGCGGCTGTGGTGAGCGATGGGGAGCCTTTTCGCATGTATATGGGACAGGAACTCACATTACAATGCAAGGCCAGGGGACCCGGTGCTCATGTTGGAGTCATAGACGATGTACAAAAATATCCCCCACTGGGAAAAGAGGTCTGAATAATGAGCTTTGAAGTTCAGTTTATCGTCCGCATATGTGGGGAGGAGTTTTCAGGTCTGCAAAGAAGAGCAGAGTCCACTGACTGTTTGCCGATGAATCCTTGAGCAGATTATCTCTTTAAATAGCCTGTAATTTGATTATATCATTAAATATCCTGAGTTTCTCAGGATCTTCCCTTTTTATACAAAAGATGAGAGTGAGAAACTGGAGCTGGGGGGTTGTGTCCATCTCTGCTAGTTAGGCCACTGTGCCTGTGATCAAAAGCTCATTGTTTCGAATTCCAGGGGTGGCAGAGTGATGTCACTATTAGGCCCCTGAGCAGGGCCCTTAACCCCCCCCCCCCCAACCCAACCCACCCCAGTGCTGCATGCTGACTGACCGAGCTCTGTGACCCCCCAAGCTTTCTCTCACCTGTCTGTGTGTCTCATGCAAAGCAAGATGGGGAACAAGAAAAGCTCATTTCCCCATGGAAATAAAAAATGTGAAACTGCATTGACAAGTTTCAAGTTTTTATTGTTTCATGCGTTCCTAGGAACACAGCGAAATTTTTATGCAACAGTGACAGTGTAGAGGACAGGTACAGGGGGGACAACAGGACAAACAGCAGTGCAGTAAGATACAAGACAGTAAGACACTGCAAGGGGACAATAAATATGCAGTAAGTAGGTGATGCATCAGGGAAGGATGTGCAAATATACACAGAGGTAGTACAGTACTGATAAAGTGCGGAAGTGGAATTTTAATAGCAGTGTGTAGTACAATGCAGTGAGGACAGATGCGGGTCACTGGTTATTCAGCGACTTTATAGCTTGGGGAGAGAAGCAGCAGTGAGGGCTGCAATTAAAAGTAAACAGAGTGAAGTGTGTCCACGCGGGATCCAAGCCGGAAACACAGACGGCCTTTGACTGTTTCGTTTGGTTTATGCAGGTTGTGATGCTGTAGACAGAGTGAAGCGTGTAAACGAGGCAGAATCCACCAGCCCCACATATACTGAGTCCATTTCTAATGCATCACCTACTTACTGCATATTTATTGTCCCCTTGCAGTGTCTTACTGTGTCTTGTCTCTTCTTGCACTGCTGTTTGTTCTGTTGTCCCCCCTGCACCTGTCCCCTACACTGCAACTGTGGCATAAGAATTTCACTTCGGAATGCACATCGCAATTAGAACTTGAAACTTATCATTGCAGTTTCACATTTTCCAACAAAGCCTTTGTTTAAAATGCGGCGAAATGTCTTCAACTGATTGTGCTTGTGGTTTCGGACCGAGTTTTGGGTAGAGAGCACGGTGGGCGCGGTTAATGGAGACCCGGCACTGGCAATGCATCCGCACCGCCGGAGCGATGGTTGCCAGGGTGACGGTGTAAGCGTGGTTTGTGCTGGAACAGAGCGGTTAGCATGGGCTGTAGCGGAGAGCGAGTCCTTTGAAGAAGTAGAAAAGCGCCGTTTATATCGGCAGAGTGGGGAGGGGCAACAGGAAGCGGTTGGGGGAGCGTTTAAATGCAAGGAAATGAGAATGAGGAAGGTGAATACATTAGCATCAGTAGATTGCTTTATATCAATGAAGATCTCTATGTCGAGGGCAGATATAGATTAAGAAAATGATTTGAAGAGAGAAGACATTCTGTAAAGCTCTTAGTGTCGTGATGTCATCAACATAATGGTTATCTAAGTGGCAGGAGGTTGGCATGTACAAATGGTTTTCTTGGTATATAATTATAATGAGTTTTGTGTATATGTAGATATGCTCTTGTCTTATGAGTATGTCCTTGTATGATAAAGACAGGTTTGAAATACAAAGGTCATTTGTAATGTGGAGTTTATGATCAGAGACGAGAACCATGATTCATGTCTGTAAAATAACGGCGCGGTTTGGATTCCACCCCTTTCCCCTGCTGCAAACGTCTTGTGCATCTGGAAACATAATAAAAAGGCAATTGAATATGAATGACAGTCATTTAAAGAGAGGGGGGGCAAAGGGCTTCAGGCAGCCACCACAATCACACATGCCCACTGGCGTACAACAAGCCTTTGAGTGTCGCAGCGACAGGCCAACGAGGAGTCAGTGGCAGAGCCCTGCGTGTCGTCTGTGTCGTGACTCAGAAGACTCTCTGTCCAGCCTCAGAGCGGCGAGGCTGACTCACACAGTCATACTCGCTACCGCCGTATTTTTAAATCGGCGCCTGAGTTTCGGCTGCGTGTTTGTGCGCGTGTGTGAGTGCATCGCTGAAGGTCTGTGTCGAGTTCAGATTAAACCCATTCAAAAAGGTAATAATAGCAGGGGGGGGGGTATCACCCGTCTCCCTGTATGGGGCATCTGGACGTCCAGTACGCATCTCACCACAGGTTCACGTTACATCCATTACATACTTCACATTCGAGCATTTTCTTAAAAACGTGTTGCACTGATTATACCACCAGGGTAGTTTAACAGTCCATATTTTTTTATAACACGAGTATGGATTTAAATTTGCTGGTGATATCTACACGCCCCTTTCGTTCGGCGCACAAGCACACAGGGGTGATCTTTGTGTCTGTGGACCTCTAACTGCTAAACCATGCTCAGCCTGGTCAGAGCTGCATTGTAGAAGATGCGAGTCCCCCCCCCCCCCCCCAATCCGAGCTCCTTGTATATAAAAGGAGGGTTTGCACTTGTTATTGTTGGAAACGCACTGCAGTGAAGGGAGGAGGGCTCACCCCTCCCAGAAGATAAGGTTAAAATAGTCAAACCACATCTGTTTATAAGCTCCTGAATATCATGTTTCTCTCAGCTAAACCTGTTAAATGTACCCACCCATGTATCTTCAATCCCCGACCCAATTCAGAATCACGGTGACAGCTCATCCAAGTTGGCTAAGTCACCACTTTGACATATGTCATGTAGATCAGGGATGAGCCATACCCCCTAATGGAACTCAGGGTCACAGTGATGGTTCGATTTATCTAGGTTAGGCAAACCACCAGTTTGCTATATTGCTATATGACATATATATATATATAACAAGATCTCATCCGGCAGGGTTTGCACTGTGACACCCAGTGTGGCATTGTGTTGGTGGGGCTGCCTGGTATTGAGATGTCAGCTGTGACAGTTGTGAGTGCAGTGTGAAGGTTCTTCAGCTAAAGACGCACAGGAACTGAGGTTGAGGGTGGGGGATGGGG